CTTGAGGTCAGTATTACCAGGCTTACTGATTTTATAGATAGGAAAACAGGCTTGGGGAGGAAAAGTGATATGCCCAAGAGCAAACCTAGATACCTGGACTCCAAAGCCCGTGCCCTTAAACATCCATGGTTCTGCTCTGGGCAGGTACAGAGGCTCAACTTGTGCAGGTGGCCTGTTCAGGACTCAGGGGCCTGACTGCATGCACCCACTGTGACGTGTGGCTCTCTCCGCTTAATTGCTAGGACTCCCAGCCCCCAGGAGGAAGGCACATGTCTGGATTTTGTGGATGAACTAGGTATGGACAGAGTGGCTTGGGCACGCTGGCAGGGAAGGCTTCTGAGGTCATTGAGTGGAGTGGCCTATCCTGATTCACACAGTGGGATGGCAATGCAACAGGGTGATAAAAGTCCTCATGGGGAGAAGCCAGTAAGTGAGGACTGAGCGCATCCTACTCTAGGTTCTCTACCAGTAGAATCTCTGGGTGTGGCGCCGGGGATGGCCAGGGCTGCATGCACCCAACCTCTGGTGGTGCCAATCACTTCTGTGTGAGACAACAGGCAATAAATTGCAATAAGCAATAAATTGAATAACCCTTTGACGGGGGCAGGTTGCGCTGCCAGAGGCCAGCACCAGGGGGCAGCAGAGCACCGGTTCCATCCACAGCAGCCGGAGAGTCTGGCCAGCGTTCCGTGGGTCGCGTCAGTGCACCAGGCAGCTGCAAAAGCTGGCATCCATGCAGACTGAGACCTCAGAGCCAGACCCAGAGCCCCAGGGGGTGACTGGGTATTCTGTAGTTTTCTTTCCAGCTGCCAGCCTTGCTGGCATCTCAACCTAAAAGGCCTCTGAACAAGGTCAAGAGATAGGGTGAGTTTCCCTTTCCTTGAATCTGCTAGGAACTGTCTTTTTAAAATTGCTTCTCATCCTTCCAGGTTCCTTTTTTAAAAAAAGGCTCTAAAACATAAGGGAGATATCTGAATGGGCTAAAGAGATTCTAGAGATTAGCTGGCATCTAATTGTTCAGAGTTTTGTGGGTCTCCTTCTTGCCCTCCTTTGTCTCAAAAGTCTTTTCTTTTAAATAGTTAAAGGAGAAAACAGGGTGCAGAAAGGATCCGCCTGGAAACCTGCTCCTTCAGGCCACCTTCTCATTCTGCAGGTGAAACACCACAGCCGGAAGCCCAGCTGACTTGCCACCGGCCACAGGTCTGTGAGTGGCTGCGTTGGGACAGCACTTCAAGTCCCCTCTCTTATTTTCTGATGCGATTCTTCTTCATGGCCACTACCTGTCAGCCGGCTCCTGGACCTGGGACGGTGAAATAGTGGGGGAATTCAAACTGGTGAAACAGAAGCCATGGAGAGAGGGATGTGGGCAAAGTGACACTCCCTCAGCTCCTGCTCCGTCCTGGTGGAGGGTTGTCAGGAAGGTCTCCTCTGTTGGGACAAACAGAGCCACTCTTCAACTCTTCAGAGCCACCTCCTATCATGTCACACAGA